CTTGCTCGTCGCCCAGGCTGGAGTGCAGTGGCACAATCTCAGCTCACTGCAACCTCCGCCTCCTGGGTTCAAGCAATTCTCCTGCCTCAGCCTCCTGAGTAGCTGGGATTACAGGTGCCCGTCACCACGCCAGACTAATTTTTGTACTTTTAGTAGAGGCAGGGTTTCGCCATGTTGGCCAGGCTGGTCTTGAACTCCTGACCTCAGGTGATCTGCCTGCCTCGGCCTCCCAAAGTGCTGGGATTACAGTTGTGAGGCACCGTGCCCGGCCTAATTTTTGTATTTTTTTAGTTGAGATGGGGTTTCACTATATGTAGGCCAGGCTGGTCTCGAACTCTTGACCTCGGTGATCCACCCATCTCAGTCTCCCAACATGCTGAGATTACAGGAGTGAGCCACAGCACCCGGCTTTCTTCCTTCCTTTCTTTCTCCCTTCTTTTTTCCTCCTTCTCTCCTTTCTCCCTCTTCCCTTCCCTCTCTGACTTCCTTCTTCCCTTCCTCATTTCCACCTTCCCTCCTTCCTGTCTTTCCTCCTTCCTTCTAACTCCCCTATGCTCCCAGCCCCACACAGATGGTGAAGGGATATAACCCAGGCCTTCGGTACCCCCTGCTGTCCTCTCCCTGCAAGCCCCCACTTCCTGTAATCCTGCCCTATCCTCTCCCTACTAGCTGTCTTCCAGATCTGGGCATCATTATCACTTCCTCAGGAGACCTCCCCTTCTCCCCCTCATCACCTCACCACCTTTCACTAATCCCCTGGTTAACTCTTTAACTGTCTTTCTCCCACACGGGACTGTAGGCACCATGGGATGGGATCAGGCTAGCCTGTCTCCTTCACTGTTGGATCCCAGAAACCTGCCTAAAGTCTTTGCACAGTCAAGTGTCCCAATAAGTATTTAGGTTTTTTGGAGGTTTTTTGTTGTTTGTTTTTTGAGACAGAGTCTCACTCTGTCACCCAGGCTGGAGGGCAGTGGCGCAATCTCGGCTCACTGAAACCTCCACCTCCTGGGTTCAAGCGATTCTCCTGCCTCAGCCTCCCCAGTACCTGGGATTACAGGCGTGTGCCATCATATTACAGGCATGTGCGAATTTTTGTATTTTTAGTAGAGACAGGGTTTCACCATGTTGGCCAGGCTGGTCTCTAACTCCTGACCTCAGGTGATCCTCCCCCTCCCAAGGTGCTGGGATTACAGGCATGAGCCACTGCACCAGGCCTAGTGTCCCAATAAGTATTTGTTGAATGAATTATTGCTTGAATGAATGGAATTACACTCCCATATTCCACCAAATAATTAATTAGACTTTGTTGATGTTTTTCCTGATTTCCCCACTCTCTACCATTACTCACTTCCTGAATTCACCAGAGCTGTATCTGCTTCCTGTTGCTTTTGTAACAAATTACCACAAACGGGTGGCTTCCAACACCATACATTTATTATCTTACCAGTTCTGGAGATCAAAAGTCCAAAGGGGTCCCACAGACTACAATCAAGGCGTCAGCAGGATGTGTCCCTTGTGGAGGCTCTAGTGGGGAATTCCTTTCTTTCTCTTTTCTGGCTGTTAGAGGCTGCCTGCCTGCCTGCCCCGGCTCATGGCCCTGTCCACCTTCAGGGCCAACAATAACAGTGGAGTCTCTCAGGCCGAATCCCTCTGACATGGACTCCCCTGCCTTCCTCTCCCACGTATAAGGAACCTGGGACAAGGTTATGTTATACAGCAAGGAGGGATCGAGGTTGCAGATGGGATTAAAATTGCTAATCAACCGAATGAGATATCCTGGGTCATTTGAGTGGGCCCAGTTTAGCCACAAGAGGTGTTTGGTTTGTTTTGTTATATACCGGGGTCAGCAAATTTTTTTCCATCAAGGCCCAGAAAGTAAATATTTTAGACTTCGTGGGCTGGGCGCGGTGGCTCATACCTGTAATCCCAGCACTTCGGGAGGCCGAGGTGGGAAGATCACGATGTCAGGAGTTAAAGACCAGTCTGACCAATATGGTGAAACCTCATCTCTACTATAAATACAAAAATTAGCTGGGCATGGTGGCCCACGCCTGTAGTCCCAGCTACTCAGGAGGCTGAGGCAGGAGAATCGCTTGAACCCAGGAGGTAGAGGTTCCAGTGAGCCAAGATCGTGCCTCTGGACTCCAGCCTGGGCAACAGAGCAAGACTCCGTCTCAAAAAAAAAAAAAAGTTTAGACTTCGTGGGCCAAACGGTAATGTCCTCAACTCCTCAAGCAACCATTCTTGCTAAAATACTGAATTGCCTTTTTTGAGACAGAGTCTCACTTTGTTGCCCAGGCTGGAGTGCAGTGGTACGATTTTGACTCACTGCAACCTTTGCCTCCTGGATTCAAGCAAGGACGTCCGACTAATTTTTGTATTTTTAGTAGAGACAGGGTTTCTACTTGACCATGTTGGCCAAGCTGGTCTCAAACCCCCGACCTCAAGTGATCTGCCCACTTCAGCCTCCCAAAGTGCTAGGATTACAGGTGTGAGCCTCCACACCTGGCCTTGTATCCTGTTTGTTTGTTTGTTTTGAGTGCAATGGCTCGATCTCGGCTCACTGCAACTTCTACCTTCTGGGTTCAAGCAATTCTCCTGCCTCAGCCTCCCGAGTTGCTGGGACTATAGGCACCCGCCACCATGCCTGGCTAGTAGAGACAGGGTTTCACCATGTTAGCCAGGATGGTCTCAATCTCCTGACCTCATGATCTGCCCGCCTCAGCCTCCTAAAGTGCTGGGATTACAGGTGCGAGCCACCGCGGCCGGCCACAAATTTTGTATTTTTAGTAGAGACGGGGTTTCACCATGTTGATCAGGCTGGTCTTGAACTCTGGACCTCAGGTGGTCTGCCCGCCTTGACCTCCCACTGTGCCTGGCCTGTATCCCTTTTTAAAATCTTACCATATATTATGAACATCTCCTTAGAATACTAAGCTATTTAACAATTCTATTTATTTTTTATTTATATTTAACTGCTCCTTAAAAATTAAGAGTAAAACAGCAGGGCTACCCTATGGGCAGTGTGCCCAGAGTAGCCTGTTTATTAATTTTTAGAGACAGGGTCTTTCTCTGTTGCTCAGGTTAGAGTGCAGTAGCGTGATCACAGCTCACTGAAGCCTTGAACTTCCTCAAGCAATCCTCCCACCTTAGCCTCCTGAGTAGCTAGAACTGCAGTTGCTTGTCACCATGCCTGGCTAATTTTTTATGTTTATTTTTTGTAGAAACCAAGTCTTGCTATGTTGCCCAGGCTGGTCTCAAACTCCTGGCCTCAAGCAATCTCGCCTCAGCCTCCCATGGTGCTGGGATTGCAAGCATGAGCCACCATGCCAGGCCTTAACAATTCTGTTTTTATGGTTACATAATATTTGTACCATATTGTTCAATGTTCGCCATTTAGTCTCTCTCACACTGTTTTTTTTTAGACTACTATAAATAATGTCATGCTAAATACCTTTGAACATAAATCTGTGTTCCTATCTCTGAGTATTTCTGAGAATCAGTTCCCAGAAGTGGAATTACTTCTAACCTAACCTTTTAGACAAAAGCCTTTGAAAAGGTCAGTGGAATGAAATGTGATTTCAGCAAAAAAGGATAAAACCCTGAATACGGAGAAGCTTATGGGGGCAAAGAATTAGTTGACAGAGGTTCTGCCTTGCCAGATAGCACCAGGTTCAAATCTTGACTGTGCCATTTACTAACTACAGCGTTGTGTATGCTCCTTCACCTGCCTGGGCCTCAGTTTTCTCTTCTGTAAAATGGGAATATTAATAGAAGCTACCTTCCTGTTTAAATGAGATCACACACATGCCTGGCCCACAGCAAATACTCAGTAAATAATGGCGTTGATCATTATTACCGCTGCTGCTACTTATTTTTACCAAGACTCTGAGAGGAAATGGAATCTATAGTGTGTTTCACTGACTCTTACCACCTTGATTTTAACCCTAACATTTAAATTTGTTGGCCAGGCACAGTGGCTCACACTTGTAATCCTAGCACTTTGGGAGGCCGAGGCGGGCAGATTGCCTGAGTTCAGGAGTTCGAGACCAGCCTGGGCAACATGGTGAAACCCTGTCTCTACTAAAATGCAAAGTAATAATAATAATAGCCGGGCGTGGCAGCGTGCGCCTGTAATCCCAGCTACTTGGGAGGCTGAGGCAGGAGAATTGCTTGAACCCGGGAGGCGGAGGTTGCAGTGAGCCGAGATGGTACCACTGCACTCCAGCCTGGCAACAGAGCAAGACTCCATCTCTAAATAAATAAATAAATCATTAAGTTGTTTTTGTTTTTGTTTTTGTTTTTTTGAGACAGGGTCTCACTCTGTCACCCAGGCTGGAGTGCAGTGGTGCAGTCTCAGCTCACTGTAACCTCTACCTCCCAGGCTCAAGTGATCCTCCCACCTCAGCCTCTGGAGTAGCTGGAACTAGAGTAGCTGGGACTTTAGGTATATGCCACCAGGACTGGTTAGTTTAATTTATTTTTTTTTAAGTAGCCAATGACAATACCCTTGCTACTAATTCCTGGGGATCCTGCAGTGTTGATAGGCGTGTTCCTTAACTGGGTTAGCCTTGTTCGTTTTGGAGTCCGGACAAGTTGCCTGACAAATTGGGAATCTGTGCCTCAGTTTCTCCATTTATTAAGTAGGAGGTCATCATGCCTGCCTTACCTGACTCATGAGGATCAGATGAAATAGTTGGAAACTCAACTAAAGAAAAAATGTCATATTTATAGCAAGAGAAATATACGTTCATTAGTGCCATGAATTTTGGAATTCAACATGTTTCCACTTAGATAATACAGCATCTGTATCAGTAGGGGTATGCATAGCATCATCAAACACATGGATATTTCTGCAGCAAAAACTATGGATATTCACAGAAATTCTCTTGTGCCAATTCAACTCAAGTTTTGCCAACAAATGAGTTCAGATCCGATGAGCTTTGGCTATCAAATTAGTTTTTTTTTTTTTTTTTTTGAGACACAGTCTCACTCTGTTGCCCAGGCTGGAGTGCAGTGGCCGGATCTCAGCTCACTGCAAGCTCCGCCTCCCGGGTTCACACCATTCTCCTGCCTCAGCCTCCCGAGTAGCTGGGACTACAGGCGCCCGCCACCTCGCCCGGCTAGTTTTTTGTATTTTTTAGTAGAGACGGGGTTTCACCGTGTTAGCCAGGATGGTCTCGATCTCCTGACCTCGTGATCCACCCATCTCGGCCTCCCAAAGTGCTGGGATTACAGGCTTGAGCCACCGCGCCCGGCCTCAAATTAGTTTTTTAAAGTTCCGTTTGCTGAGCTTGTTGGATTTAAATCACACCCTTCTAAGGGCATTATGTAGGTGACTTACTCCAGTGTGCACAGTAACCTTATGAGATGGATACTGTTATAATCCCCAGTTTACAGAGAGAGAAACTGAAGCCCAGAAAAGGTGAGTAATTTGCCCACACACACACAGCTAGTAAATGGCAGAACTGGGATCTCAACTCAGAGACCTTACACCTCTTACACCAGGGCTAATTCTTAACTGCGCATCTCATCAAGAGATCTTACGGATTTTGTGAACCTGGATAGGAAAAAAATCCTTATATTTATTTTCATTGCCTTATTACTAAAATTTAGCATTCTTTTCAATTATGAATGGAGACAAGAAGCCACAGCAGCAACATGGGCAATACCTATGACTGTCACCCATAGGAATCCCAGGTCATTCTCACTGCAGTCGTAGCAGATAGCTCGAGACACCATTTATGTCCAGCCGCACGCTGAAGTTACAGGAACCCTCAGATCCACCGCTTGATGTTGCCATTGAATGCCTTGAAAAAGCAGCACATATATTACTGTGTCACAAGGTGTTTTAAATATTTCAATAATTATAGTTTGATATAATTAATTACCTTTGTGTTTTAATTTATGCATTTAATAAAAACCACTTTGAGAAGGGATCCATGGCTTTCACCAGACTTTCAAAGTCTGGTGCCAGGGGCGGTGGCTCAAGCCTATAATCCCGACACTTTGGGAGGCTGAGGCAGGAGGATTGCTTGAGGTCAGGAGTTCAAGACCAGCCCCGGGCAACAAAATGATACCCTGTCTCTGCAAAAAAAAATTTTTAATTAGCTGGACATGATGGTGTGCACCTGTAGTCCCAACTACTCAAAAAGCTGAGGCAGTAGGATCGCTTGAGCTTAGAAGTTGGTGGCTGCAGTGAACTACAATTGCGACACTGCACTCCAGCCTGAGCAACAGTGAGACCATGCCTCTAAAAAAACAAAACCAGTAAACTCCAGAGGGTCCTAGGGCCCAAAAAGGTCGAGAACACCTGACTGAGAGCTGTGTTTTTTCTTTTTCTTTAACTTTATTGAAGCATAATTGACGAATAGAAATTGTATAAATGTAAAGCATACAACATAATGATTTGAAATACACACACATTATGAAATGATTACGACAATCTAATTAATGTATCCATTGCCCCACATAGTTATCTTTGTGTGTGTTGCAGCAAGAACACTAAAGACCTACTCAGCAAATTTCAAGCACACACTGGATTGTTATTAACTGTAATACCCATGCTATGCATTAGGCCTCCAGAATCCCGCGTAACTGAAACTTTGTTCGCATTGAACATCTCTCCATTTTCCCTACTCCTCAGCCCCTGGCAAATGCCATTCTACTCTCTGCTTCCATGGGTTCGACTTCTTTGAGATTCCCCATGTAGCTGAGATCAAGCAGTATTTGTCTTTCCATGCCTGGCTTATGTTATTCAGTATAATCTTGCAAATCGCATGAGTTTCTTCCTTTTTAAAGTTGGATAATATTCCACAGTATATGTATAAACACCAGACTTCTTTCTTTCTTTCTTTTTTTTTTTTTTTTGAGACGGAGTCTGGCTCTGTCGTCCAGGCAGGAGTGCAGTGGCCAGATCTCAGCTCACTGCAAGCTCCGCCTCCCGGGTTCCTGCCATTCTCCTGCCTCAGCCTCCCGAGTAGCTGGGACTACAGGCGCCTGCCACCTCACCTGGCTAGTTTTTTGTATTTTTTAGTAGAGACGGGGTTTCACCGTGTTAGCCAGGATGGTCTTGATCTCCTGACCTCGTGATCCGCCCGTCTCGGCCTCCCAAAGTGCTGGGATTACAGGCGTGAGCCACCGCGCCCGGACTTTTTTTTTTTTTTTTTGAGACAGAGTCTCACTCTGTCACCCAGGCTGGAGAGATCTCAGCTCACTGTGGCCTCTGCCTCCTGGATCCAAGCACTTCTCTTGCCTCAGCCTCCTGAGTAGCTGATACTACAGATGCCTGCTATCAGGCCTGGCTAATTTCTGTGTTTTTAGTAAAGATGGGGTTTCACCATGTTGGCCAGGCTGGTCTCAAACTCCTGACCTCAGGTGATCCACCCGCCTCAGCCTACCAAAGTGCTGGGATTACAGATGTGAGCCACCGTGCCTGGCCAAAAAAATAAGATAAAATAAAGTTGTTTGAGTTTTATTATTATTATTATTATTTTATTTTTATTTTGAGATGGAGTCTAGCTCTGTCACCCAGGCTGGAGTGCAGTGGTGTGATCCTGGCTCACCACAACCTCCACCTCCAAGTTCAAGCAATTCTCCTGCCTCAGCCTCCTGAGTAGCTGGGATTACAGGTGCCCGCCACCACGTGCAGCTAACTTTTGTATTTTTAGTAGAGACAGGGTTTACACTGTGTTGGCCAGGCTGGTCTCGAACTCCTGACATTGTGATCCACCTACCTTGGCCTCCCAAAGTGGTGGGATTACAAGCGTGAGCCACCGTGCCCGGCCAAAACCAAAAGGTTTTAAAGACTCAAAATCAAGAGGCTGCACAGGTGGCTGAGTGAATTGTTACGGAGATAATCAAGCAATTATCACCAATTTATAATTTGTGTTATCTTATATCCTTCTTTATTTTTCAGACAGTGTCTCTGTCACACAGGCTGGAATGCACTGGCACAATCATAGCTCACTTGCAGCCTCAACCTCCCAGGCTCAAGCCGTCTTCCATCTCAGTCTCCTGAGGAGCTGGGACTACAGGCATGCACCACCGTGCCTGGCTAATTAAAAAAAATTTTTGTTTTGTAGAGATGGGGGTCGCACCATGTTGCCTAGCCTGATCTCAAACTCCTTAGCTCAAGTAATCCTCCTGCCTTGGCCTCTCAAAGTGCTGGGATTACAGGTATGAGCAAATGCACCTGGCCATATTCTTTATTTTTTTTAGAGATGGGCAACTATGTTGCCCAGGTTAGTCTTCATCTCCTGGGCTCAAGTAATCTTCCTGCCTCAGACTCTCAAGTAGCTGGAACTATAGGCGTGTACCACTATGCCTGGTCTGGCTATTCTTTTTTTTTTTTTTTAATCTCTGTAAACTGTTTTAATTTTTTTTTTTTTTTTTAAGGAGGCATTGGCCAGGCACAGTGGCTCATGCCTGTAATCCCAGCACTCTGGGAGGGCAAGGTGGGTGAATTGTTTGAGTTCAGGAGTTCAAGACCAACCTGGGCAACATGGCGAAACGCCATCTCTACCAGGAATACAAAAAGTTAGCCAGGCATGTTGGCATGTGCCTGTAGTCCCAGCTATGCGGGAGGCTGAGGTGGGAGGATTGCTTGAGCTTGGGAGGCAGAGGTTGCAGTGAACCAAGACCATGCCACTGCACTCCAGCCTGGGTGACAGAGTGAGTTCCTGTCTCAGAAAGAAAGAAGGAAGGAAGGAAGGGAGGGAGGGAGGGAGGGAGGGAAGGAACGAAGGAAGGAAGGAAAAGGAAAGGAAGGAAAGAATAGAAGGCATATGCAAAAATGATGGACAGATAAACAATAAAACATGGGAAACCTTTATCCTGGTTCATTCTACTTTCCGCACACCACATTCCTTGCAATTCACTTGCCCCCATTTTAGAGATGAGAAAACTGAGGCTCAGCATGGACGCATAGGTTGCTTATCTGAAGTCAGCTAGTGTGCCAATGTCTGAGCTGGAACATAAAAATTCTGTCCTTTTACTTAATGTAAATACTAAGAAAAAACAATGTCTTTCATAAAATGAGCGGGTTGACTCATCCTAACTGTCTAAGTTTTATAAATACCAATGCTATAAATTGTGGCGATCAGTGGGGCCCAAAAAAGTCTCCAGCTTTCTCAAGTCACACAGCAAATTGGTGTATGAAGATGGACCTTGGGGTGCTCTTTTACTGTCCTCCGTGACTCTTGGATCTACCCTCTGAACTCTTGGATCTGTTTTCTGAGTCATCCTTCTTCTCTCATGAAAGGCAGCTCATGTTTGCAGCCGAAGTAGTTTGCAAGCTGCTTCTTCCCTATAAAAGTTTGAGGGTTTAAAGAACTTTTTTATTTTTTTTCTTTGAGACAGAGTCTCACTCTGTTGCCCAGGCTGGAGTGCAGTGGCACGATCTCGGCTCACTTCAACCTCTGCCTCCTGAGTTCAAGCGATTCTCCTTGCCTCAGCCTCCCGAGTAGCTGGGATTACAGGCATGAGCCACCACGCCCAGCTAATTCTGTTTGTTGTTTTTGGTTTTGTGTGTTTTTTTTTTTTTTTTTTTTTTGAGACAGAGTTTCACTCTTGTCACTGAGGCTGGAGTGCAGTAGTGCAATCTCTGCTCACTGCATCTTCCGCCTACCGGGTTCAGGTGATTCTCCTGCCTCAGCCTCCTGAGCAGCTGGGATTACAGGAATGTACCACCACGCCTGGCTAATTTTTATATTTTTAGTAGAGACAGAGTTTCACCACGTTGGCCAAGCTGGTCTCGAACTCCTGACCTCAGGTGATCCACCCACCTTGGCCTCCCAAAGTGCTGGGATTACAAGTATGAGTCACCTCGTCTGGCCAACCTATAGACATTTAATTTCTTCTTTCTTCCAATAATCATGGACTAAGATGAATACAAACCTGTGTTTTCACCCCTGGGTGGGTCTTACGGAGGATCGATTGGAAATACCTCCTTACAAATTTCATGGTCTTTTGTTTTGCTACCGAAAGTCTTGCCTGACAGTGTCTGTGTGATATAAGCATAACTAATTAAAAGGTAGATTTACTTAGGCGACCGTTTGTTTGGATTACATGACAAATGGTTGGCTGATAATTTGGCTCTAAATTGACTAGATGGTTGGATTGGGATTTTTTTTTTTTTTTCTTATTGAATTGACAAGTTGTTTTGGAGGCGTGTGGACACCATCTGACCGCTCCATCTCATGGGGGGATATTTAGCTAATGACAGGTCTTTCCAGATGTCCATGAAAATACGTACTCGAATGTGTGTGCGGACTGCTCTGCCATCTAAAGAGACATTTGGAACTGATATTGGCATTTTAAATATATGCTCTAAATTCATTCTAATCATTACATTTTTAACTTAAAAATGGATCCTTATTAGGTTTTTTTCTCATCTTAAACAGAGTCAGGCTTGGTGAAAAAAAGTACTTTTGGTGAAAGAGTCCAGACATACACAACACAGAGACTGGAGATCTCTCAGTCTGCCTCTCGGATCATCACTGTTTCCAGTGAGTTACCATCGTTTATTTAAATGCTTTACACTGTGATCCATTGAAACCATTCCTGCAGCAGAGGAAAAAAACAAACAAAACAAAACCCTTATTTAAACAAAACTAGATCCCTAGCATGTGTTAAAGATGGTTATTTCAGCCAGGCACAGTGGCTCACGCTTGTAATCCCAGCACTTTAGGAGGCCGAGGCGGGCACATCACGAGGTCAAGAGATTGAGACCATCCTGGCCAACATAGTGAAAACCTGTCTGTACTAAAAAATACAAAAAATTAGCTGGGTGTGGTGGCACGTGCTTGTAGTCCCAGCTACTCAGGAGGCTGAGGCAGGAGAATCGCTTGCAACTGGAAGGCAAGGTTGCAGTGAGCCAAGATCGCACCACTGCACTCCAGCCTGGGCAACAAGAAGAGCCAAACTCCGTCTAAAAAAAAAAAAAAAGATGGTTATTTCAAGGTGGGATTATGGGTGATTATTTTTCTATTTCCTGTTGTTTATATCTGCACTTTCTCCAACAACATGTGACTTATGTATTTTTAAGTTATAAAGAAAATAAAACGGCCGGGCGCGGTGGCTCAAGCCTATAATCCCAGCACTTTGGGAGGCCGAGACGGGCGGATCACAAGGTCAGGAGATTGAGACCATCCTGGCTAATGTGGTGAAACCCCGTCTCTACTAAAAAATACAAAAAACTAGCCGGGCTAGGTGGCGGGCGCCTGTAGTCCTAGCTACTTGGGAGGCTGAGGTAGGAGAATGGCTTGAACCCAGGAGGCGGAGCTTGCAGTGAGCTGAGATCCGGCCGCTGCACTCCAGCCTGGGCGACAGCGCGAGACTCCGTCTCAAAAAAAAAAAAAAAAAAAAAGAAAGTAAAACAGTTCAAGTAGCCAATTTATTTCATTACATGCATGTATTTGTTGTGGTTTGTATGTGAACCAACTGACCATAAGTGGCCAGCAAACTGCAGTGGTAAAATGTACACACGCAGCTTCTAGTGTCACCTCCATGAGGTTTCTTGTTTTTCTCCTTCTTCGTTTTAATGGCATACTTTCTGGGAGATCTTAGCATGTCAAAATCCTGTTTAAAAAACTGACAATTAATCCAGAGACCAAGGAAAGCAAACTCTGCGTGATCTATCACCTTCCCCAGAACAACAAACACCATTTTGACATGGTAGCTGCCCCCCGAAGATGTCAGTTCAATAAACATGCTATGAAGGCAAGATTTGAAGGGTTAGCTCAGGTTTTCCCTCATTTGTTAATTTCTGATGGCTTATGTTCCAAATTAATAATAGCAACAGATATAATTTATTTTATTTCTTTTCATTTTTTAGAGATGGGGTCTTGCCATGTTGCCCAGTGTGATCATAGTGCATTGCAGCCTCAAACTCCCAGGCTCAAGCAATCCTCCAGTGCAGCTGAGACTGTAGGCAGGCACCACCAAGTGCCCAGGCAGATCTAATTTTTTGAAAGCTTGCTCTATTACAGGCACCAGTTAAAGCATGTTTCCTGCAGGCCCAATCTCACTTTACACTCATAATTTCCAGATGAGGTTGTAGCTCCACCACTTCCTGGCTGTGGAACTTTAGA